TAGTGATCTGGGCTGGGTGTAGCAGTGACATTCTTCCTCCTCCGATTTCCATAGACGAGTCTTTAGAGAAGTAGACCACGTCTTTCTCCTGTGGATTCAAACCCCTTACCTTTCAGTCTGCAATTGAGTGCCTCTCCACTGCGCCACCAGGGCTCCTTCCTCGGCATAGGGAGGAAGTAAACTGTGATTGTCCTAAAGAAGCTAAAGTCGCAATTCCTTTATAACCTCTTCGGGAACCACATCCCCCGGCTGCTTGTGAGAGAAAGATGGGCGATCTCCTCCTGTGTTTCTGAAAACCCTCTGGAGGGTCAGCTATGAGGCAGTTCCTGATTGTAGAGACAGAACCACAGCACTGTGTCTGGAAACGTGGGTGGTATAGGGAGTGGAGCTGCTCATCCAGAGGCCAGGCTCCTGCGGTAGTTTGAGTCTGCTAGTGGATCCCCAGGGAAAAAAGATGAGCAGTCTCCTCCCATGCAATTTACAGCCTCACAGAGTTACAAGTAAGCTACTCACGGTTTTTTCACCCTGATAAGTAGCTCACCCCATTCTCCTCCTTGCAAACACATCTTCGAAGAGGTCAGCAAAAGGGTCAGGGCAAGGGAGATAGAAGTTAGACTTCAGACAAAGGACAGCGCACTCCTGAGTGGATTCCTGAAGGCCTGCTGATGGCTTTGTGGGGCAGAAAGAGGCTGCCAGATCATTTGTTCAGCTGTGAATGATGCGGGACCCTGGGAAACAACTTGCCTGTGGCACAGTTCACAAACCAGAGACACTAAGGCTTCTGAGACATTAGAATGCAGCCCCCTCATTTCACAGAAGACACTTGGGGAGCTTAATCCAGATCCCCAGCTGAAGGGCTGTCTGTCTGGACAGTTCCTACTCAGTGGTATACAACCACAACATACACCCCTGACAGCAACACAGCCACAACATATACCCCTGACAGCAACACAGCCACAACATACACCCCTGACAGCAACACAGCCACAGCGTACACCCCTGACAGCAACACAGCCACAACGTACACCCCTGACAGCAACACAGCCGGCTCCTGGCCATCCTCACATCCTCGCCTGTGCTTAGAACCATTGCTGCAGCTGCCGTTTTGGTCCATCTCATTGCACTTGGCACCTCAGAGGAAAGGCCTGGAAATCTGCTGCAGAGTAAAATCTGCCATTGAAAACCTTGTGGAGGACAGTTCTGCCCTGAGTCAAATGAGATGGTCAGACTCAATTCAAACTGTAACTAATTTTGGGTTTTGGAGTTTAAAAGGCCTTCTGCCTGTTGTAGGGTTGAAGGAAGTGCTGACTTGGGCTTCCAGACCTGGGGGGTGGGTGTGGCTGCTGACTCAATGGCCTGGTTGAGCAGGGGTGAGGTGGGGAGATGGCACAGGGCTTTCAGATAGTGTTAAGCCTCCAGGTTTGAGTCTTCCCCTTGGCTGCTCCCCATTTGTGTGACCTTGACCTTGGTCAAGTTCCTGAAGCTCACAGCAGCTCCTCAAGGTCATCTGTAACCCTCACTGTGGGAGAAGATTACCCTTCACCTGGGATCTGGCACACAGCGAGCACAGACGGCGGGCTTGTTATGATTCCCATAAAGAGCACACAGGGCCCCTTTGGCGTTTGTGGCCTGGGGTGCCCTGTGAAGCTGCGGGCAGGCGGGAAGGCGCACTGCAAAGGGCCCAAAGCTGCAGGCCCCACACGGTCAAAGCCTTTTAAAGGCCTTGTATTAGAAAAATAAACCAATTAAATAATATTGCCCCCCATAAAAGTGGACTTTTAATGGGCTCCGCAATAGAGTGTTCACCACGGCAGCCCACACCCCAACCTCGGGAGCCTGTCTGCCGCCATGGGGAGAATTTAATCTTGCATGGTGCGAGCGTAGTTTTACAAGTGTTACGGTTGTTTTTGCTCCACCAAAGTGTTGCTATGTCATTGTGCACATAGACTGCTTGCATGCATTTAACAGTTTACCTCGTTTTGGGTGGAAATGAAAAATGAAGTCATAAATTAAAGAAAAACACAACATGGATTTTTCCCCCCCTCCTCGTTCTTCTTGGAGCAACTCTGGAGGAACAAAGAAGCAGTGTTTCTCCTGTAGCCTAATCAAATTCTAATGGCTTTTTCTGTATTGACATTTGAGTGGAGGTCTCCTCCTCCCCAGGGGGCCCTGCAGGGCATGGAAGGTGTGTAGGGAGCTTATATGCTGACCTTGCCTGTGTTGGAGGCTGTACTCTAGGGCTCTGTCATTGTGAGGCTCCATCAAGTCAGTTAGGACCCACACTGACCCCATGTGACAGAGTAGAAATGCCATAAGTTCGCGTGTTCTTTCTAGGCAAGGATGGTGAAACTGTCTCATGTGCTCTGGGCGTGTTGTCAGGAGGGGCAAGCCTTTGGAAAACGATGACCTGCTGGGAAAGGAGACAGATCCTCAACTGGATGGATCCACTGGACTTGAGCAGGGTGGAGGTCATGAGGGTGGCGCAGGAGAGGGCCAGATTCCAACCTGTTGTTCCTAGGAATGTTGTGAGCGGCGGATGACTTGATGGCACCATAGTGCCAAAGAATTATGCTGCCGATGATAGGATTTGAAGTTCGAATCCATCAGCTGCTCCTTGAGAGAAAGATGGGCAGTTTCCTCCTTTGCAATTTACTGTCTCTGAAAACCTGTTGGAGGGTCAGCTAATAGTGGGCTCCAGCTCGGTAGTACATAAATAACAATAACAACAACAATAGGCTACCCAAGAGCAGATGGCAGGGCTTTCTTCTGTGGAGCTCCTGAGTGGGTTCGAACCACAAGTCTTTTGATCAGGAAGTCTGAAAAACTATGGCCACCATGCAAATCCGGCTTGCCCCTCATTTTTGTACAACCTGAGAACTAGGAATTGATACTACATTTTTATAAAGGGGGGAAAAATTCAAAAGAAAAATATTTCCTGATCTGAAATTAAAATGCCAGTGCCAGTTGTTGCTGTTGGCACTGGCTGCCCAGGTGTGTCGGAGTCGAAGCTATATGCTTCCTAGGAATTTTCAAAAACGGATCACTTCGCCTTTCTTCCACGATGCCTCCAGGTGGGCTTGGACCTCTGACGTTTCGATTAGCAGGCTAGTGCATTAACGGCACCGTTTCTCTTCTTGGTGACCTTGGCAAGATTAGCATTTTGAAGATTAGGCCACGTTCTGCTGTTGTTAGCAGTGAAGTCCCTGAATGGTGCACGTGGTTTATGTGGCCAGCTGTTAATCCCAAATTGGAGGTTTGCCTCCTCCTGAGGTGCTGTGGAAGAAAGGTGTGGCAATCAGGTTCTGTAAAATCAGCCCTGGAAAACTCTCTGGAACTGTTCTGCTCTAATGCAGATGCAGTTGGTAGGAGTCAGAATTAATGTGATGCTAACTTTTACAAATTTTCATGTAAGTGCTACTTCTTTGTCTAGAGCCATAAACCCTCTTCTTTTGGCCGCAAGTCAATATTTTAATTAGATATAGAACGATTTCTGAAAGACCAGGTGGCATAGTCCATGGGGAGTTGAACTACTAACCAAAAGGCGACAGATATTTTTGGTGGTTCGAATCCACCGTCTGCTCTGTGGGAGATAGATGGGACAGTGTCCTCTCAGGCAGTTTACAACCTCTGCTGCCTCAGTGGTAGGTCAGCCGTGAGCTGGTTCCGACTCCATGGAGTGGAGTTAAGTGGAGCTGAGCTGGGACTCCCATTTTCTCTCCCTTGTGACCATAAATTGGATGGCACCAGACACAGAGGAAACCTCTTTTGACCAGACCAGCCTCTGACACCCACAATGAGAGCCTCCCAGGAGAGCAACGTGATTCTCAGGAGAGGGAACAGGGAGGGAAGGCTGCGGGATCGTAAATCACTCTCCCGGAGCTGTCTTCACCCTGGATTTCATCAATAGTCTCCTTTTAGTGAGCTTTGTTATTGTGTGTCGTTGAGTCGGAACCGACCCATTGCTGATGCTCCAGTGGATTTTCAGAGGCAGTTAATTGTACAGAAAGAGAAGACCTCTCCTTCTCCCACTGAGCTGCCAGTGGATTCGAACCATGTGCCTTTGAGATTGAGGCGCCACTGGTGGATCTGAACCATGTGACTTTGAGATTACAGTGCAGCTTCTGACCACTAGGCCCCCAGAGCTCCCTTGGGGAACTTTAGGATGTTTATTAAAATGTCCTGGGGAAAAGTTTTAACATTATCCGTGCTTCTCCGATTATGGAGAGGAGCTTTGGTGGCACAGTGGTTAAGCGTTTGACTGCTAATTGAAAGATTGGCAGACAAACCCATCAGCTGCTTTGTGGGAGGAAGATGTTGCAGTCGGCTTTTGTAAAAATGCGTGTTGGAAACATGTAGGAGCAGCTCTGCTCTGTCCTCCTGGGTCACTGTGAGTTGGAATCCATGTGGAGATAACCAGATTTTTGTTTTGCTTGATTTTCAATGTGAGGAAGGAAGGAGTCCTTAAGGAGTCTTAAGCCAGGTCTTTCTTCCGCAGTGCCTACGGGTGAATTTGAACCTCTAACTTTGAGTTGACAGCAGAGTGCATTAACCATTTGCACCACTCCAAGACTCTACAGCAAATAAAAAAGGGAAAATTTGTAAATTCATAAAAAGTCCAATCATGTTGAGGTCACCAAAGAACTGTTTTTTAAAAGGAAATTAATTCTTTGTAATAAGAAGGTTGGTGATTCCAGGGCACCCAGATGTGCCTTGGAGGCAAGGCCTGGAGATCTCTTTCTGAACGATCACAGCTGCTGGAAACCATGTGGTCTACTCTGAACTTGGGGCCCTTTGACTTGACACTGACCCCTTGGCAGCGGGGTTTGGTGACTATTTTGTGGAGACATTGGATGTGACAGCAACCGTGAGCATCTTTCTCTGTGACAGCCCAGTCTCCCTTCCTGCTCGTTCTTTCTCCACTCCTCTCTGCTTTTTTCTTTGTCAGACAACAACCAGTTTTTGTTGCTCCTTTCTGATGAGTCTTCACTTTCTCTCCCCAGTCATGCGGAGGAATCCCTTCGGCGTGGACATCTGCTGCCGGAAGGGGTCCCGCAGCCCCCTGCAGGAACTCTACAACCCGACTCAGGTAAGCCTCAGCCAGTGGGCTGCTTCTGGGGCTGTGATATCAAGCATCATTTTGCTTTTTCTTTTTGGCTGAAAAAAAAATTGCATTGTTGCGTTCCTTGGAGATTTGAAGCTTCCTTTCTCTGCCTGGCATTTCACTCCGAATGGTTGCGTTCTCAGTTCCCCTTTGTCCTTATGATGTGTATGCAGTCCTAGTGAAGGGGGTTTAGACTTGGAGGAGTTGCTTTGGTTTGGTGCTAGACTAAGCTTTCACACCTGCCTAGGTTTTGGACCCCGATGTGCACAGTCTCAGATCCCAGGCGTGGAACACCGAAGAGCTGGCTGGCTAATGCTCTCTCGCGTGAGCTCCAACTGAAGAGGAACTGCACATGAGCAGACTGGCCACCCGCTCCCATATTCCATTATTCAAGCCCAACAATGCCCCAGGAGCCCTTCCTTAACCTTGCCAGCTTGGCAAGTCTCCCTAGTGTAGGGACTTTTTGCTAAGTGACTGTCACAGTAAATGTGACTCATTCATTTAACCAGGCAGCAAATGTGGGCTCTGCATCATTGATTATGAAAAGAGCTATGCTTTGGGCAAAATAGACTCCAACCAAGGAGAAGTATCCTCCCTGGGAAGAGAGGAGCAGTGTGAGGAGGTCTGGTTGCCATGGCAGCGGCCTTGGAGATGTGTGTGGGTCTTGCTGTGGATATTCTAGAGCTGGTCCTTTTGCAGGAACCAAGTAATTAGTGTTTGATGCCAAGAGTTGGTGAGTGAATAACTGGACTTTGGGCAACTGTTGAAAAAGAAAAAAAAAATTATATCAAAAGCTTCGCTTAATATTTGGTAGATCATGATGCTTGCCTGAAGACTACTAGTTGGGTATCAAAGGGATTGAATTCCCAGAAGTTTGACAAAGAAGAACTTCTGATACCTTGGTTCTTTTCTTTCCAATCTTGTACCCGCACCTGCATTTGAATGATTATGAACTTAAGTGTCTATGTGCATTGTGGTGAACTAACCAGCTTAAAGTTCTCCCCCCGCCCCACTCTCACTACCTTGAGCTCTAGGTGTGACTAGACCAGATTACTTGGGTAATTGGAAGTTCAGTACAGATCACCTCCAGTTGACAGTGCATTCTAGTTATGACAGGTCACACTTATGATGGCCTTCCCCCTTCTGGGCGTTTTATTGTTAGTAATATGTCCTAGTGCATAATTTGAAGATGTTGCCTTGTAGATATTCTATTTTATTGCTTACTGTTCAGAAGTGCAGGATTTAGAAAGATATTGGGAATAAGAAGCAAGAGTAATAAAAACTTTTTTTAAGGCGTTTATTGGAACAAAATCCCAACTACCTGTATTCGTAGTCAAGGACTCCTTCTACTGCCTGAGGCTTTTACTGGGTATTGTGTTGCCTCTGCAGGGAATTTGCTCTTTGAGTTTCATTTGATGCCGAACTATTTCATTATTGCAGATGAGTTTCTCAGCCTGTTCATAAGCTCCATTCTCAAGAGCGGACAGAACAGGGCTTTGACGAATGATGTGGTTTGCACACATAGTTTCTTCTGGAAGGATTAGTGCAAAGCTGATTTCTATAAAGCAAAGCTAGTCCACATGTCCAGCTTTTCTAAACTGCTGTACCACTTCATCTCCTCCAACATCAACTCTTCAGCCTCCCCTCAGTCCTCTGCCACCTGTCTGTGTGGTTGAGTTTTGTAATTTGCTACAACATATCACAGATAATCATAAACCATCAGGGAAATGGCTTGCGTGGTCCTGGAAGCTGGAAAATCCCAAATCTGTGGATCATACGTTAGCGTGGGGAGCTCAGCCACTCTACGCAGTCAAGGGTTCTGTGGCTTGGCTTGCCAGTGGCTGCAGGTGGCTTCTTGCTGGGCTGCTGGTTTGCAGCAGTTGGATCTGATTAGATGCATTACCTAGAGAGGCAAAGGAGTGAACCTTCGAAGAGTATTCCTCTATATAGGATCTAAACCACACCCCCAAGGAAATGCACTCCTCGGCAAGGTGGTGATTTTGTGTCATAGCCTCTAATAATGTGAGAGTTCTAGATACATCCCACCCCAGTCCCACGTCGTTAGTACAACAGACAGCTTACTCCACAGTGAGGTCATAAACACAAAGAGACTAGGATTTACAGCACACCCCAGCATGGAGTGATATGGCTGGAAGGGTCATTACTTAACGCATGACACTGCAGGGTTTCTGGTAAACCATGCTGCAGACAACACATGCTACATAGTTGTAAACCATCCCGTCCTCTGTTCTCAGCTCATTTTCCCCTTTCAGAATAAAACTAGCAAAGTGCTACTGCTTTTCTAGAGAAATTTTATGGGCAACATATGGTGTGATGGGAAGAGCCCGTGCTGAAGGAGAATGGCAAGTCCACACACTGTGCCTGCTCTGTTCACTGCTGCATCCTGGCACCCAGCCTGCAGGGCCTGTGGTGGAGGCCGCATTGTCTGTGGTTGGAAGGAGAAGGACCCTGGGTTCAAATCCAACTTCCCCTTCTAACAAATGGTGCAGCCTTGAGTCCCTGATAAGTCCTCATGAATCCATCCATGATGAAGGCTTAGAATTGAACAAAAGAATTTCTTCAAGAAGGCACGGTTAGTACAAAGTTCCTGCGTTAGTGGTAGTTAGGTGCTGTCGAGTCAAGCATGACTCATAGCATCCCTCTGAAGAACAGATCGGAACCTTCGCTGTCCTGCACCGCCCTTATGATCTCGAATATACCTGAGCCCATTGTTCCAGTCACTCTGTCAGTCCATCTTGTTTAAGATCTTTCTCTTTTTCTCTGGCTCTCCACCTTTGCCAGTGTCATATCCTCTTCCAAGCACTGGCCTCTCCCAACAATGTGCGTGAAGTATGTGCGACCAGGTTTCACCATCTGTCTCTAAGGAGAGCACCCTAGTTACACTTCCCCCAGGATAGGCTTGTTTGTTCTTTCGGTAGCCCATAGGATGGTCAGTACTCTTCTCAGGACACCACAGCTCAAAGTCATCAAGTCATCTTCTCTCCTCTTTATTCATTGTCTCACTTTCAGATGCATAGGAAACACTGGACAAGACCACGGCTTGGGTCACGTGCACCTTAGTCTTTACACTGATGTCGTTCCTATGAAGTGGAGGGTAAAGATGTCCCAGTGTCCAGTGTGAAACAGTTCTAAAGTGTCAGAGCAGCAGAACTGGGATCTGTCATGTTCTGGCCATGAGGGTCCTTCCATTGCTAAGTCTTGATTTCAGAGACAGTCTGGGTTCAAAGGCTCCTTCACCATTTACCAGCTGTGTGGCTGAGGGCACATTATTCAGCCTCCCTGTGGTTCTTTATCCCATGGTGCCTACAATGCACACAGAATGCTTCAGGGTCTTGAGAAGGGAGAATGGTGAGACTTAAGTGCATTTACTTGGGACACATGCTCGGGAAGACCAGTCACTGGAAAAGTACATTGTGGCAGTAAAGTGGAGAATCAGAGTGTGTGTGCGTGTGTGTGTGTGTAACTGTGTTTAAAAGGGAAAGGGGAGAAGGCATGGGAAGAAGGAAGAGGAAATCACTAAGACATCAGAGATTAGTGGGGGCCCTGGGGGGTGAATAGATAAAGTGCAATGAGGTCTTGAGAAGGTGGGGAGAAAAAAAATAACACATCAAAGGGACCTCTGGTGGTCTAGTGGCAAGAAGCTGTGCTGCAATCCCAAAGGCACGTGGTTCAAATGCACCAGATGCTTCGCTGGAGGAGGGGCAATCTCCTTCTATGCCAGTCAAATTTGATCCAATGGTACACAAGAAGAGAAAAAAGTAACATATCAATAATAATGGATGATATAAAACAATGCACAGAAACGATGAGATTCTCAAGGAGATGGAACTGATGGATAACTCGTGTCCAAGAATGATGCTGAAGCTGGCACGTTGCAGAGCCGCCTTGCATTGTGTTACACGGGGGCAGGTAACTCATGAGCAAAGCCCCCGTGGGCGCACTCTGCTCACTCACTAATCGACAGAGACCGATTTCCCCCCATCTTCCATCATAGGAGTGTGATATATGCAATTGTGAGCAGCTGGAGACCCCTCATTGGTGACTAGTAACAGTCCCTACCCTGCCCGGCTGTATGAATGTTGTGCGCTCGCCTGGCACTGCCCCAGGACTTGTCTCATTGACTCACGCGTTCATCTGCCGCTGCTGAGTGTCTCTGTGCAGCAAGCACGTGGCTGGCAGTGGGCACACAGGGCTGAGCAGGACACATGAGCTCAGCCCCCGCTGCCTGGCCCCTCTGGTTATCCAGGGTTGATTTCAGAGAGCTGACTGGCAGGGTAGCCTCTGCCTGGCTCTTTTGTAAAGCCCTCAAAGGGGGAAAGCCCTGCTAGGTTCAGGACAGTATTCCTTCTGGAGGTGCTGTGTGTTTTGTCTGTGTGGAATCCTCGCTTAGCGCTAGACTCTGACTATACCATGCATGTACCATAGACTCCCAGGGGAACAAACAAATCTGTCTTGGGGGAAGAAGCCGCCAGAATGTTCCTCAGAGAAGCAAAGAGTGAGATTTCGTCTCATGTACTTCAGACATACCATCAGAAGGCAGCAGTCCCTGAAGAAGGCCACCATGCTTTTGTAAAGTGACATCCTTCTCACCGCCAATTTGGAAGCAACTCGTAGCTGCCCCTCTAATGGGTTTTCAGAGATTAAGTCACACGGGAGGCATTGCCCAGTTTTCTCCTTCAGAGCAGTTGGTGGATTCGAACTGCTTGCCTTTGGGTTGGCAAGGCACTTCCTTACCCTCTTAGACCACATAAGAGGAAGATTCTCAATGAGATGGATTGACACAGGGGCTGCACCGATGGGCTCAAATATAGCAATGCTTGACACCGATTCCTTCTGTTGTAATGGGATTGAATCAGAATTGACTGGATAGCAATAAACAAGCTTGGGGAAATTCCTGAGTGGTCCCAGCCAAAGAGTAGAGGTGTAAGTCCACTCAAAGGTGCCTTCACCGAAAGGCCTGGTGA